TTTCACTGGATTTCCAGCAACGAGGAGAAACAAACGCCCCGGATTCTGAAAGAGCGGCATGTGAGATGCAGTCAGGCGCGGCACACATGGTGTTTCATCAGTTGATAAACACTCGGGTGTCAGTGGTCACATAATGTTTCTGTTTATACTCCTGGCTGCTAATGAGAGGTCCATTCAGCTTCACTTCCCATTCACCGGTTGAACCCTTTGACGAACCTGTCTCCGCGTTGATTGTCATAACCACAAGTCGGCCCTGTTTAGCCAATCAGGTCAGGCTACATAAAGGTCATACATATTTCATACAGTATCCCACTTAACTGACAAAGGGTTCCTTTTTTTTTTTTTTTTCTTCCTTGTGATTTGAAATCACGCCTCATATTTCATTAGACTCTCAGAGAGCCTCCAGGCTGTGGTCAGATGGGCTGGATGTTTTATTCATGTCCTCTGAACATCTGCTTGTCTGGGTGTCAAAAAATCATCAGACTCCCAGAGGACTTCAGCCTGACTGGCTGTAAATGAACTCTGAAGCCGAGACTCAAAACAACCTGTCAGAGCCTTCCACCACCAGAGGAATCTCACAGCACGATGAAGCGTGTAACCAAGATCCACTGCAGGAGAGGACTGATGGAGATCAGCTCGGGGAAAAAAAAAAAAAAAACAATGTTTAGGCTCTGATTCAGTCCGTGAGATCACGTGAAAAAGCTCTCAACACAAGTTGATTTCTCGTCCCACAGCTTTTGGTGAATTTTGTCACACTGCTGTTCATGCTGGCTCCTGGTCGTCAAGTCTCCCTGAGTCACCGGGGGCTCGTGCCAACTGGAGGGAAACAACCTGACCACTAACAAGTGCTCACTGACTCACAGCGGCCACAGTATGTCCCACTGTTTGTGCGTGCATATGTGTGCGCCGGCGTTATATATACTACCTAGTTATGTGCATTTGTATTCATCACCCATCCTCCAGAAAACGTGTTGTAGTTTAGAAGCCATTAGGAATTTTAGTTCACAGGCACTAACCTGGACAAGTTTATAAGAATGAATGCAGCCAATAAAAAGCTGATGGAGATCAGCTCGGGGAAAGAAAAAAAAAAACAATGTTGTCTTTGTTGGTGAAACACCGACCTTAACATTTAGGTGAGCTTATGTTTCTGTTTATACAAATATGTCCTTTCATAATGCTGCCCACTGGTTTATGAATAGCTGTTTTTCAGTCCTCAGCTGGCATTTGGTCATTTCTACTTTTGGTTTTGACATGATCTGACTTGAGTTTATAATAAGTGACAAGTTTCTGTGTCTGAACTTGAGTGTGTAGCGAGAATTATGATTAAAAACTTGATCTTTGAAAAAAAAAAACATAGTTTGGGTCCAACTTTCTTTGTGAATATTAAATTAAAAAAATTATAACGAACACCAGTACCCTGATTGCAGCTATCATGACCCGTGATTCAACTTTTACTGCCCGCGTTTTAATAAGAGAAGTTGATAAGTAGTTTGGGTGTCAGCCAGAGACATTTTGGAGCGTGTGTCTTGACACTTTAAGGCATTTTTATTTGTTGGTTTCATGTCTCACTTCTGTAAATCTGTGTTATGTGGATACTTTGGCTCTGGCCTGTTTCCAGCCCTTTGTGCCATGTCATGTACTGCTCAGCAGCAGCTTTCTGCCACATCAAAAGTCTCAATGATAGCTAATAAATTCAGAATCATGTAACCAAAATGAGCTGTAACACACTTTTTGCCTGTGGGAACTAACTGGGCTCAACATTACACTAGCAACACTTTTCAAATTGTATTCTGATGCACTGTTTACTTTTGTGCCAGGTCAAACATTAATATTGATTTCTTTTAAATGCATTTAACATTTCAACCAAGTTGTAATAAAACTTTGACATTAAAAGCCTGGACATTTGAATCCACTACTGGTATATTACTATTGATACACTCAGTCTCAATATCAGTCAGATCTGCAATATAGAAAGCTTCCCTTTTTGAAAATAGTGTGAACACAACTTATTTCACATACATGTAAATGTTATTAAATGTAGGGGAATACTTTTGTCATGTCTCAAAATAAACCCATTTGTAATAAAATAATATATCAAATAAAAAGTAAAATATAAGAAAATAACAATACGGGTATTCACACCAATCCATATTTCTAGATATGTATTTCCAAACGTGTATTTTATACTGTAGGACTCTGATCGTGAAATCATTGCAGGTTGTCTGTAAACAGAGCAGCGTGCCCACACAGGGTCATTTTCCACCAATGCACTACAAGAGAAAGCTTTGAGAGTGATGATGATAACAGACTCAAGTGGTTAGGAGTCTTTTATTCATATAGCTCTAAATCACTATGCTGAGATTGCATTGCTTTTAATCTTAGGGGTTATTCTGTTAGCTGATGGTAGGGTGATGTGCACAAAGTTTTACTAAACAAAACCAAAAAATGTCAAACTAATTTGTCAAATCTCAGTGATTTTTATGTGGAAAAAAAACAAAATTTTTATGGTTTGAGATTTATGTTTGGAGTGTTCCGTCTGCTCCATGGTCTCTGCTTTGTTGATACAATTGTCGAATAAAACTCATGGCCAATGTATTAAGCTCTTCAACGACAGAAGAAAAACTTGATGAGATCGATTAAGAGAGCTCAGGTTGTGGCTCTAAAGAACGTCTTTGATCAGATCCTTTCCAAGTTTTGGTAGATGTACACAATACATAAAAAAATCTTTGGCTATGACAGACTGCTCTTAGGCTCAATTAAGTAACTAATTGCACCTCCGCCTGGTCCTTTTTTACCTTTAAAAAGGAGATTTCGTAAAGGTCACCTCACCTGAAAAGTTAAAACAAACAAAATTATGTGCATTATTAGTCAAGTGCCATTGAAATCATTTGCAGTCACATCATCATCAGCACACCATCACCCTAAAATCAGCCCTTCATCCGTCAAACCACACAAGACTGTGGACATTTTTCATGCTTAGTTTGCATTTTTTCCCTCTTAAATCCATTATAGACCATTTGAATGTGTTTGTCAAAGGAATAATTCAATATTACACCCCTCTCATTTTTGGTGGATTAACATAGGTTGTTAATTAAGTGTTTTCACCCCATTTTCCTCATAAATAGCCCGGCATTCATTTCATCAGTACAGCTGTGGAGTCATCCTTCAACGCCCTCTCCAACTGACTCCCCTCTTCCTTTTAGTGGCTCCATGGATTTTCTCCAAATGATAGATTGGGCACAAGAAGCCACTGAGGTCTGACCTTTTGTCTTAAATAGGCCTAATTACGTTCAGGTTGGTTGGATAAACCCACACAACAATTTGTGGGATGTTCCTACAATAATCAATAGATAAAAGTAACAGATTCAGATATATGGCCACGCTCCTCAAACTCCACAGACAAATGCATAAAAGAAATGAGTAAGTTCCGTTTCAGAGCTTCAAAGTTGGATCGGTGTTTACACGTTGCGCAGCTTCTCTTTTTTGATTGAAGAAACGCACAGATTCTATCCCATCCATCACCTCCACCCCTCCCCTCACTCTCATAATCCAGGAACGAGGAGCGGGTGATTTCTAGCCCATTCTCTCCTGTGGCATCGCGCTCGGCAGAAACTTGCAGAAAACTGTATATCTACCAAACAAAGACTTTATCTATTTTTTTTTCCAGATAACATATTGTGATTAGACACGAGGAAAGGCAGAAATGAATCCATTGGACGGAATTCGCCAAGTGTAAAAGTTGTGGATGGTTACTTTTGCGCAAAAGCCTTTTGAGGACAATTTTATCCCCAGAGCTCGCGGTGCAGCCCAAGAGCTGGTCCAATTCTTTCTTCTGCAGAAATACCACCCGCTAGCAGGCTGGAAGACCATTCAATCGGGAGAACGCCGCGAGTCCGCAGAGTGCAGATGATCGCAACTGGTGTGTGTGGCGTCGCGCTGGTGCTGGTGCTGGTGGTTCTGATCCCGGTCATGGTGAACTCTGCCGGGACTCCAGCCCGCTATGAGATGCTCGGATCTTGTCAAATGGTTTGCGACTCCCACGGGACGGCCACCACCGCCACGGCCAAGGTAACCAGCCCAATCAAAGACAACCGTCTGGTGCAGTCGCTCCCAACGTTCATCCAAGGTCCGCAAGGGGAGCCGGGCAGGGTCGGGAGGATGGGCCCCAGGGGTCCGGTCGGAGAGCCCGGGCCGCCCGGACCCGCTGGCCCTCCCGGTGAGAGGGGGGCCCCCGGCCCCCCGGGTCCACCGGGGTTACCGGGGGCAAACGGGCCAACCGGTGCCATCAGCGCTGCCACCTACAACACCGTTCCAAAGATAGCCTTTTACGCAGGGCTGAAGAAGCAGCACGAGGGCTACGAGGTACTCAAATTCGACGACGTTGTCACGAATCTCGGCAACCACTACGACCCCTCCACCGGAAAATTCACCTGTTCGATACCCGGGATATACTTCTTTGTTTACCATGTGCTGATGCGCGGCGGGGACGGGACCAGCATGTGGGCTGACCTCTGCAAAAACAACCAGGTAGAAAAAAAACTCATTAAGACACCACCGTAAAACAACCCCTTAACACGTTTTAGCGTTACTGTTTGCTCTCCATTATGCGTCCACGTTAGTAACATCTTGCGTTTTTACGCACGGGATAAGTCCTCAGATAAAAAACAAGCAGACCCCCAGCGGCTAATAAGGATGACTTAATCTGATATTTCTTTTTAAATCATATTAAGACACATGGCACCACGGGTTTTAGGTGTGATTTCGTGAGAAACAAGCTGGAATGTGTCCATTCTGATTTCCAGGTGAGAGCCAGCGCCATCGCCCAGGACGCAGACCAGAACTACGACTACGCCAGCAACAGCGTGGTCCTGCACCTCGAACCCGGGGACGAGATCTACATCAAGCTGGACGGAGGCAAAGCGCACGGAGGCAACAACAACAAGTACAGCACTTTCTCCGGCTTCATGCTGTACGCCGACTGAGACACCGAGGTGGTCCGCTGAGGGGAGGAAGACGAGGAGGGAGGGGAAGAATGAGAAATATATAAATAAAAAAAAAGAGAACGCCGCTTCCCATTTAGCTTGCTTCACTGCACTTTCTCAGTTCAATGTCAAACTGGATTATTACAGACAGAGCTCACCGTTTCTCCGTTTAAAGTGAATCCAGAGAGATGCGGATGAGTCGTGAAAAACTGGACTTTGCAGCCACGGAGAGCTGACAGCGTAATTACAAGACGCGTTTTTAATTTGCACAGCAGTTGTATCCTTGTCAGGTTGATTAGTATGGTTAACGCACTCTGAATGAACTGTTAGGCTTTACAAATTAAGTTTGCTGATGTGTCCGACCAACTGTAGCTGTTGTGGTAACGTTTACTGAGTGACTGTATAGATTGAAAGTTTCAATGTGCTGACCTCCGACACCCAGTTGTAGAAGACTATACTCTGCCCACAGGGTCACCACTCACTTCACACTGTTCTTTGTCCATTTGTGTGCTTTATTTTCTTTCAAAATATAACATGTCCAGGTTGTAGCATTTTGGGTGAAGATGTTAATATTGGTGGTCATGCATGTTCTAAAAAGTTGACATTCAAAACCCCTGTGCAGCATCTAATGTACAGGACCAAGCTGATGTTCACATTGAAGCTCTGTCCCACCACAATGGTTGTAAGTTGTTTTATCCTGTGTGTGTCAACACGGCATCTGGTTTAGGCAGCAGGGTTGCCTGACGGTTAGTCACCATCACAAAGCTGGACTGTCACGCCGACAGACATCGTTTCTCATGCCCACCCGACAATCTGCTTGTTGGTTTATTTGTTTTAAAAAAAAAAAAAGAAAAAGAAAAACGGATTCTGATAAGAATTTCAGTTAAAATAAAACGAGAGCCCGAGTCTTCTGGCTCAATTTGTTTTCCTCTGAGAAGATTAATCAAAAGGTAGATAGTCGCTCCCCCGTGCGCAGTCAGCCGTGGCGATCGCACCATTGATCATGTGGGGAAGTCACCCTGTGAGGCCACCTGTTCCCCAGATGAGAGGAGGACGCGTCCTTCATCTGGGCCGACCAGTCAGCCTCCCAGAGACGCGGGCAGACGCCCCGCCAGGGGCAGCGGGACGTTTCATCTAACACAGCCGCATTGTGTCAGGAGCCGAGCGGCATACTGATTACTAACAGGCTCATTATTGCCCTGCCAGAAAAAAACATGTTTGCAGAGATGTCACAAACACAAAGGAAGCAGCGATGATGGCTAAATTAAAAAAAGTTAATTACCATAGCACCATATGTGTGAGCACCGCTGTAGAGTGTTTTCATGGGATGGAGACGTTTATCCGAGACTATAATTGCACTTCTGTGTTAAATCAAGTTATTCGGCGTGGCGCAGAGGGGGCCAGTGCTTCTTTGAATGACCTGCTTTGACGTGGAATTATGTATAACAACAAATAATTAGAAAACTTTTAGCTGATAGGAGCCTCTACAAAAATGCTTTAATCAGACTGAAAGTACAGCCTGTCATAATTTTCTGTCATATAGATGAATGTAAAAAAAACATGCTGATTCGCTCAAAGAAATAAAACATGAAATCGCACGTGTATCTAGAGGTTCATTGGTCTACTGACCAGTAATTATTGCATCAGATTTTTCATTTCTGCAAAGATCTCATCCTGTTCATTATTGGGTGTTCGGCCGGTGGTGTGAAGACTTAAAATGGACTCTTTTAGCATCTTTTCTCCCTTTATTTGAAGGTTAACCAGCGTTTGGGATTGTCGATAAGGATCTTGTCCACCTGGTTCTGCGAGAAGCCCCTGGTCAGCATCTTCGGCACGATGTTCTTCAGGATGTGAGAGTAGCCGTGGCCGCCGAACTTGGTCAGGCGGTTCTTGGTGTGGATGTCGTGCGCGATCACTATGTTGTCCTCGTAGCCCTCCTTCACCAGGAACGCCAGGCTGGACACACGCAAAGAGGGCGGTGAACAGGAGGGCTCTTACACGCCACTCCGACAGTGCAAAGTCCGTCCGGTTCACACAGAATCGGACCCAGCAAACATTAAGTCATCCTGAAAATGGCGAGCCGAATCAAATTGCGGACTGACACTCGGCACAAGCGTAAGAGACTCGTGTCCCGGTTAGCTGCAGGAAGCGCCCCCTGTGGCATCAGCGCACGCATCCAAACGCACAGCACTAACAGACCGGCTCAAGAGCGGGAAAAACAACGGATCGCTGCCACTCACGCCTTCACTCTCTGGCTGTCACTGGGCATGTCCACGTCCAGGTTAAAGGGGTAGTTCAGCATCTCCGTCCCAAACAGGTCGTACTCCAGGTAGCTCCCCAACTTTGCAAACTCCAGCAGCTCGCCGTCATCAAATATGGTCCTGCGACAGAGTTTGAAAGCACTTAAGAGGTGTTGGTTTGTTTTCAAACGCCACGCGCAGTGAACACATTTGAATAATCTTGTCAGTATAAATCAACTTCTTCCTAATTTTTTTTTTGCTGACATATTGTAACAGATGACTGGCCAGTCGCGTCCGCGGGAAACAAAGTCAATAGTTTTTCAATCAGATTTATGAAGGTTATGCATCTCAAAAAGCTATGGTTCCTTAATCTGCCCTCTAATTTGAACGTGGTCGTCATGGATTAGAATATACAGTTTATTATATAAGTGTAAACTTCACTTACAACCAGAATATGTGCTGGTGAAAAGCTAAAAAAAGAAAAACGGTAACAGGGTCTAAATGTTTTAACCCTATTTCAACTTCATTTCTAAAAATACACAAACCCACAGCCTCATTTAAGCATTCAGTACGACTTTAGAAATAAATGAAAACATAGCAAACGGGAAATGTTCCAAAGATGTCAGCCTCTTGACAGGATTTCACAGTTTTATGAGACCGAACAGGAAGTAAACCGTTATCATTCCTCAAGGTCATATTCACATTCCATTGATGGATATATTTGGAGAAAACAAATGTCCCCTCAGCGAGGGACAAAAATAATTGTCAGGCTCTTAAGAGACGGCTAACCTGTCCAGGTGTGACATGACAGTTTTGCCGATGTCACCTCCGGCCTCCTGGAGGATCCGAATGACTTCAGCTGGAGCGGCGGGATTCCGGCCGGGATGGATGATGACCGGGCATCCCAGCTGAGCCTGGGCGTGCGCCGTGGCCCTCAGCACCTTGGTCTCGCTCTCGGTGATTGGCCAGCAGGTGCCAATCTCACCAATCACGCCGCAGCGGATGTCTGTGCCGTCGGCGCCGTGGAGCACTTCGCTGACGATGATGTCTGTGAGCTGACAGAAGAGAAGGAGGAGTTCAGGAGGGACAAGCGGCTGGCGGCTCTATCCGTCGAATTTTGAAAATACACGAACTGAACAGCAGGTTTTTTTTACTGGTGCTGTGATTAATTGCTTTTTGAAATGTTTTTTCTCTTTGGCTCCCCTCTAAAAGAGTAACCATAAATACTTCCAAATGAGACTACCATTACAAAATAAGCCTTTGTGCACTGTGAGTGTTGAGAGAAAATGTCATGGACCAAAATGTCATCGTGACAAATTTAGTGCTTTCTTGACTGAGTCACATAGTAGCAGTGACCATCTGCAGACGCAAACATAAAAAAAACTGTTCACACCGTTAAGGTTAACTGCGTTAAACTTTGCAACAAAACAAAAAGGGGGCCGAGCTTTGTGCCTGACCACAGAAAGGGGGGTTGGGGTCACACCTTCTCCACGCTCATCTTCCGGGTGGCCTCGCTGTGGGTGCTGTCCACGTAGTACCCGGCCCCCGCCACGATGTGGACCCCCGTGTCCTTGGCCAGCTGCCGCAGGGCGGGCAGGTCCCGGTCGATGCCCGTGGTGGTGTTCTCCACGATGGTGCCCCCCCCGGCCTTCCTGTAGGCCAGCAGCTCGTCCCGCAGGGCGCCGGCCTCCTGGCTCAGCTGCAGGTTCTCGTGGCAGCTGTAGGGGTTCTGCCTCAGCCAGTGCATGTGCTCCATCTGGAAGGGGTCCTCTGCCACGGCCTCGTCGCCGGGTGGAGGAGGACAGTAGGAGCACTCGAAGCCCATGACCAGGTGCTCATGGGTCATGGTCCGGCCCAGCTGGTCTGGCTCCACCAGACCCAGGACGGTCTGGACCTTTCCGCTTAAAGCCGACATTATGGTCCTATCAGAAGTCGCTTTCCCAAAACCTGAGAAGGCAAAAACTTTACATAAGACACCATTGCAGGTCCGACAGCCCCATGCACGAGCTGACAGGCGCGTGCTGCAGTGCACCCGCGTGCACAAAGCCTGTCAGCTCATGCACAGGGCCGGAGTTTGAACATTGGACCAGAGGGACCGTTGGACTCGTGAAGTGCAACTACTGCTATTTAGAAGGAGTCTAAAAACATCTAACACATCTCATAACTTACTTGCTACACATCCTTCTTTGCTACAAGTGAAATAGGAAGATGACCGCCTGCATTTTGATAATCGCTAAATCATAACAGTGACGAAGTGCAAATTCTTCCAAATCACACGAAAGCAAAGCTCGGAAGGGGGGAAAAACAGGACGGAGGGGTTGAGTGAAGATTTAAGAAACACATCTATTGAATGCAAAACCAACGAAAAACGCGTCCTGACATTGTTTTTACTCACTGGAATCCAGTTAATGCGATCCGAGACGCTGCTCCAGTGCATTAGCTCAGAGGAAAAAAAGTGCCTAAGTGTCAATCATCGCGAGAAGTTGCGAGACTAGAGACCTAATTTAGTGTTTTGCTGTGTATTCAGATACGTTACAGTGAAATTACTACATTTTTTGTTTATACGAAATTAAAAATGCTTTTTAAATGTATCTATCTATCTATCTATCTATCTATCTATCTATCTATCTATCTATC